CATGCTCTTTTGAGTGACAAGTGGTTTCCAAATGTTTTCTATGAATCCTGATAGCTGTCCAATGAGGGTGCCACAGTTGGATATGATGGGTCTGGCAGGGTTACCTTTGTGGATCTTTGGGAGCACACAGAAGATCCCTGGGGTGGAAGAGTGGAGGATAAATGGAAATAGTTTGTCCCCAGGTTCTTTACTATTTGGTATCGAGAATTGACTGTTATTTTCATTGATGTAGTCTTAAGGACTGAAGACCTTTGTCTTGCCACTAGGTGGCAGGGAGCACGTAATAGCTTGTTTGCATTAAGCAAACAGCTATTCCGGGAGAACTATAGATATATGATATTTATACCTGTGTATTCTTACTTTTGTTTTACCTAACATAACTCTATACCAAATGACAGTGAGTAACAGTAGGGGAGGGCTATAAATCGTATGTCTGCTCCTTTTTTACACTGGTGTAAGTGTAGTTTTTTCATTAATGTAACCATGTTGTGTGTCCAAGTCTTTGGGCTCAAGATTTTTCAGAGAAGTGTGTGGTATAAGCGTGCCATTGTGCCACATCTCAGCTGTGATTGTAGGTGCAGTTGTAACTCAGGAGCACAATTATGCACACAGAGGCTGCGTCCAGACGAGCATGGACATTTGGTTCCCTGGGGACAACTAGCAGTGGGACACCTTGTGCCATGCTAGTTGTCCCCAGGGAACACCTGTGCCACACACCGGTTGGCATATGTCAGGTTACTGTGGCTAGGAGAGGCTGGGGCCATCACAGTTGCTGGCTCCGGTGGCCTTACTTGGGGTTCTGGGGGCTGGGGAAGCTGCAGCCACATCGATTCTGCAGCTTGGAGCCTGGATGGCAGCTGGAGTGTGGCTCCGGCTGGCCAGGCTCTGGTATTGGGGAGCACACACTGTCCCCATGTGTACCACCCCGCTTTTTTTTTCTGCATTTTTTTTTTTACTCCTGGATTGCCAGGAGTCAACCCCCTCCCACCGAGTGAGCTGCAAGGCAACAGTGCAGGAAATGCCTGAATGTGCAGTATGTAGGTCTGCAGCACCACATACCACATAGCCACACTCGTGTGGATGTGGCCAGTTTTGAAAACCTGGGCCCTGACATCTTTATGACTCAAAGTGTCTACATGAAAAACAATGGCTGAAAACACATACTTCTGAATGTCATTGTGGAGTTTCATTAATATTTCTAGAAAGGTGTTCATAGGTCACAGGTCTAAAGGAAAATATTGTCATTATTTTGCTTCTGTTATAAATAAAGCATTGGGTCATGTCCCTCATTCCTTAGTGAAAACAGTGCAAAGAGGGGCACCACCTCTATGTGGTGGTACATACATGTTTCTCATGAGGAATGTTAAGGACACCTTTTAACACATCAAATCCAGCAGTGCCAAACATCTCCTGAGAGGTGATCAGTATGGCCTTGGAAGTGCTTTATCCGTTGCATGAATTAGCCCAAAGTGTTTAGGAGGTTGGCTTTTTTCCCCTCCAGGGTTTCCACTAGTATTTGTGTTTTTGAAGGGGAAAAAGATTTTAGCCACAAAATATTAATGCTGTGAACAACACCATGAGGCACAAGGGAGAAGAGATGTGGTCCCTTGAGTAATCAGCACCATCTGACACAAAACAAGAACAAAGCACAAATTAAGCTCATGCACAGCAAATAGAAATTAATAACAGGAGCCAGACCAGACGCTAAGAAAAAAAACAACAAAAAAACAGATGTGACATTGAAGTGAATTAATGTTTCCAAACTAAGCAGGTATATTTTCAGCAAGCAGAAACATGAGAATTAAGTCAATGGTAAAACAATATTAAACTGAAGATTACAGACTGGAAATTGGTCTCAGTGTAAAATCTCTTCTTTTTTTTTTCAAGTTACTTTAACTGTGAGCAAGAAGCAAGTTCCAGAGGAAATGAAAATTTAAGTAAATGTAGACAGTTTGGCAGGGCCACAGAATGAAGGCTTTAAGGAAAGAAAATATAGAGAACAGAAGAAAACATTAGTTAGAGGAATCATGGAATCATAAAAGCATCAAGCTTTGGTGAAAGAAATAAAACTGTACCCAATATTTAAGAAATAAGATAGATATACGATATTTATATTTGTGTATTCTTACTCTTGTTTTCCTAATGCATGCAAATATCCTGTCAAAGCTGATGTTGAGGAAAGTGTTTAAATGCAAGGGGTTTTTAATAGAGGTGCACCAATACATTGGTCCAATATCAGATCGGATATAAAGAAAATTTGCTGTATTGGATATTGGCTGATAAATGCTCGTGCTCTGCACAGCCACAGCACAGCATGGAGCAGAGCCGACAGCTTGAAGAACTGCCTCCAGCTGGTAAGTCGGAAGGGGAGGGAAGGAGCATGGTGGGGCAGATCAACACCCCCCATGGTGAGGGAGGGGGCAGGAGCAGGCACTGCCCAGGTGGGGTGGGGGCACAG